CAAAGGTAAAGGACATTTTAAATGTATGCTAAATTCTACCATTTTTTAAATGGGAGAGTTATGCTACATGATTTCTAAAGTCCTTCCTGCACTAAGGTCTATGATTTCAGAGCTGGGCAGTAGCAAGTCTGATTTCTAAAAGTGAGCACATTTTGCTATGCCTCTACAAGTCCATAAAGAGCTGTTGGATTCACATGGATAAATTCTGATGGGCTCTTTCTGAACAGATTTGTCTATGCAGAATATTTTGCTTGAATTCAAATGAAATTTGTATTAACCTTTGTAAGTGGGAAAGCATAAAGAAATAGCACAAGAGGTTTATAGATACACCAGACCATAAGATTGTTTGCTTATGAAAGCTGTTGAACTATTTATTTGATCCACACCACACACATTTTGGAAGCATTGAACTGAAAGCATAATAAACCCTAGGGTGTGTATGTATTCTAGAGAAAGAGAGAGACTTGCATTCAAATGAATTCATTTTGTTTAATGTATGTTTTAGAACCATACTTGAAACGTACTCTATGAAATTTCAATTTGATTTTGCTGGGTCATTTTCATTTAGAACTTAGTAAAATCTAAACTGCCTAATGAATATTTAGTATACCTTAGACAGTTCAGCATTTTCAAACCTGCATTAAATTGAAACATCAAAACGAAAATATATTATTTTTCAAATTCTTCTTGGTCTTTTCCTTTTGTGCCTCCTAAATAAAGATAGTCTAATAGCTGGAAATACTAGTATAAAATGAAGAGGGTAATGAGTAGGAAAAGAAAGGTTAGGAAGTTATAATCAATTGTAAGCTTCAATGCAATCATAAACCATGAGAGCTAAATAAGTCCTATCTCTGCCTTTGCCCTTTCCTTGTAATAATGCACACAGCGATTTTTAAGTAATATAAGCCTGAGATAAAAACTGCAAAGTTCAATTATCTTAGCAATAAAACATTAGGAAGGAAAAATGGATATGTTTGAATAAGTGATAAGAGTGGAAATATGACAACATAATGACATTTCGGTAACAAAATTAATTTACCTCAGATATAAGAGGGTACATTTTCCCATACTGATTGCTACTGATTTTTTGGTTTAGTTTAGTGAATTGTAAATCTCCCTGCTGCTGTTCTAGTAATTATGTATTCATTTGAATTATGAAAATGATTATCATAATATTTCAGCCTCTAGGGAGCAATAGACGTTTTCCATCACTTGAACCATTTCCACCATTTTTTAAACTCAGAATAACTTATATTCATTTTTTAAATTGTGTAGAAATATTTGTGAGTTTAAATGTGATGAGATTCTGCCTTGTTGAAAAAACTAATTTCCAATGGTTTTGTTTGTGTTTGTGTGTGCATGAAATAACCAAGTATTTCATTGGAAGGCACAGAAACTGAAGAACTGATGAGTTATTAAGTTGAAAAAGAACAGAAACAGAGCAATGAAAGGCTGCAAAATGAGGGCATTTCCCCATAGGGCCATTGTAAATTTAAACCTAATAAAGATGTATCGGGAAGGGGACAGAAAAATGGGAAAAGATAGAGGTTCTTTTGCAGTGGAAATCTTAGAATTGAGAGAGAAAACCAATTTAAAAACAAATAGCATATTACCATTTCCTCTTTTTTTTGGTTTTTTGTTTTTTTGACTCCATACATTGATACTAAGTCTCTGCCAAGTGCAAAGACACTTAGTTAATGATGAGGATGGCAGTATATACAACACTAGTCCTCAAGGAGCTTTCATTCCCTTTTTTCTGTTTTTCTTTTTGAAAGAGGGTTTTGCTGTCATCCAGGCTGGAGTACAGTGGCATGATCATAGGTTCACTGCAACCTCGATCTCCCAGGCTTGGGCTCAAGCAATCTTCCCACTTCATCCTCCCAAGTAGCTGGGACCACAAGCATATATCACCTCACAAGGCCAGTATTTCTATGAGCCTCATTTCCACTTCCCTCGGCATCATCTTACAGATGGAGTCAGTAACTGATCGACTTATTCCGTGTATGTAAACATAAGATCATTTCCAGTCATGAGCTGCTCAAACCCCATCCTTCTTCCTACCTCCTTTCCTCCTTGTGTCCAACATTAGTATGAGGTCATGTTTCTAAATATGCTTTTCAAAGACCCCGCAGTTTGAATGAAGCAATATCATTCAAGGTTCCAAATATGTAGAGAATTTGGGGTTGGGGTGTGAGCAGTTCAGATGCTGCCTACTCTTCTCATGGACATATAATTCCTTCCTGAATAAAGTGTGCATTCACACTAATTTCTCTTGAGTTCTGACTTTCCATCTTGAAGTGATGCTCTCTGCAGATTGAAGTCTTTCATCCCTAGGAAGATACTCTAAGCTTTGTTAGTGTTATTCTGCTGTCCCTGAGCTCAGCAGCCTATGAAAATAAATTAGGCTATATTAGAATTTATTCTCAAATTTTGCTGTTTGAATATGCCCCTATATCCTCCTGCATCCCCAAGAAAACAATGGCAAGCCTGGTTATACAGAACGCAGCACATGACCAGCTTTCTCTGTGAAGTGTTTCTGGAAGACCTCAAAGGGCGTCTCATGGGTCCCAAACACGTCTGAGCTGCTGGCTGCTGCTTGCTCCCACCCCATCTCCGTTGCTACTGGCTGGCTGTCAGCAGTGACTCAGGTGCTCTGCACTGCATTTACAGGAGCTCCCCTTGGTGCTTGTTGCAGAAACTCAGGTTTGCAAGATGTTATTTTGCTTGTAGTTATTTAATTTATATCAGTAGACAATGTTTTTTTCCAAAGCACTAAGTTAGTTTTGTCTATCCTGAATTTGCACTTTCAGATTTTGGGAAATTTTAGCCTATGTTATTAGAGAACATAATTATTTATGCATAAAATCTTTAACTTCAGCATTATCGAGTAATTTTTTTTTTTTTTTTTTGAGACGGAGTTTCGCTCTTCTTACCCAGGCTGGAGTGCAATGACGCAATCTCGCCTCACCGCAACCTCCGCCTCCTGGGTTCAGGCAATTCTCCTGCCTCAGGCTCCTGAGTAGCTGGGATTACAGGCACGTGCCACCATGCCCAGCTATTTTTTTGTAATTTTTTAGTAGAGACGGGGTTTCACCATGTTGACCAGGATGGTCTCGATCTCCGGACCTCGTGATCCACCCACCTCGGCCTCCCAAAGTGCTGGGATTACAGGCTTGAGCCACCGTACCCGGCTCTATCAAGTAATTTTTAATGATGCAGACACAAAAAGAACAAAACTAGAATGACCCAAAGTATGTTATTATAACTCATGGAAAAGAATCATTATTGCCAAAACTTGAAAGCAAGCAGTATGTCCTTCAGCAGGTGAATAGACAAATGAACTGTAGCACATCCAGACAATGGAATATTATTCATGGCTAAAAAGAAAGGAGCTATCAAGCCATGAAAAGACACAAAGGGAAATGAAATGCATGTTACAATGTGAAAGAAGCTAATCTGAAAAGGCTACATACTTTACAATTCCAACCATATGACATTCTGGAAAAGACAAAACTATGGAGACAGTGAAATGATCAGTGGTTGCCAGGAGCTATGGGGAGGGAGAGATGACCAGACCAAGCACAGGGGATGTTTAAGGCAATTGCTATACTGTTTGATGCTGTAATGATGGATATATGTCATTTTAAATTTGTCCAAATGGCATAGAATGCACAGCACCAAGAGTGAACTCTAATGCAAACTATGGACTTTGGATGATAGTGACATGTCAATTTAGGTTTATCAATTGCAACAACTATACCACTCTGATGGCGGATATTGATATTGGGGAGGCTCTGTGTGTGTCAGGATACAGGATATTTGGGAAATCTCCGTATCTTCTTAGTTTTGCTGTGAACAAAAAACTGCTCTAAAAATAGTTTAAAAAACATAAAAGTTATGGTATTTATTTGTATCTTACTCCATAGCCTGTCTAAATAGCCTTAAACATCATGACTTTTATCTGAACTACCTATCCATTGTTTTAAATAAAATGGAATCTGTTTTACATTGTCTTCTTTCAGGAGGTAACACTGAGCTTAGATTCTCTTAAGAAAAAAAAACCCAAAAGTCCCTTTCTTTTTTTAATGTTTCATTTTTATAAATTTAGGGGGTACAACCTACATTGATATATTGTGTAGTTATGAAATCTGGGTTTTAGTGTAATCATCACCCAAATAATGTACTAGTTAGGTAATTTCTCAACCCTGACCCTGCCTCCACCTTCCCACGTTTCCAGGTGTCCTATGTCTATGATTCCACTCTCTATGTCCATGTGCACAGATTATTTAGCCCCTACTTGTAAGTGGGAACATGTGGAATTTAATTTTCTGGTTTTGAGTCATTTCACTGAAGATAGCAACCTCCAGTTCCATCTAGGTTGCTGCAAAAGACATGGCGATTTCATTCTTTTTATGGCTAAGTAGTAGTCCATGGTGTGTCTGTGTGTATACACACAAAGAAAGATGTGATCTATAGAAAGATATCGAAAATAAAGAAAATGTGATACATCCAATTATCTGTTGATGGACACTTAGGTTGATTCTGTATCTTTGCTATTGTGAATAGTGCTGCAATAAACATATCAGTACAGGTATCTTTTTGATACGATTATTTCTTCCCTTTAAGTAGTTACCCAGTAGTAAGATTGCTGGATCATATAGTTCTATTTTTAGTTCTTTGATCTATCTCCATACTGTGTTCCATAGAGGTTGTATCAATTTACATTCCCACCAACACTGTGTAAGCATTCCCCTTTCTCCACTTCCTCACCAATATAAGCTACCTTTTACTTTTTATTAATAGTCATTTTGACTGGTATAAGATGGTATTTCATTGTAATTTTAATTTGCATTGCTCTGATGATTAGTGGTGTTGAACATTTGTTCATGCTTGTTGGTCATTTGTACAAAGTCACTTTATATACTATTGAAGATAAATTGTAACTGCCAATGGCCATAGATACATGGGCCTCATGTTGTTTTCAAATAAACAATGTAGAATTGCCGTAAAGTACTTTTATTTGCCAAAAGTAAAACAAGTTGTGCATTACAAATAACAATTGAACACAAATTGGTTGTGTCCCTTTTTAACCCACTGTACAATTTGTAAAAGCAAAATATCTGGTTCTAAATTTATGAATATCAAAGTTACAAGAAAAGGCAACATGCAAACAATGAACAGATTTGTCACTTTTATTAGAGGATCAAAAATCTACGGTTTACCCCCTAATGTGAGCAAAATGCTGATCTTTCTCTTAGTGCAGAATCTTTGATCCCTCCCAGATGTTCTCAAGGCCAAGACCAGTAGTAATGTCCCATTTCCTGATTTTCAAAATTTAGTTACAGATTTGGCCATCTTCTTTTCTGTAAAGATCACAGGAAAATGGGTATCATTCATTCCAGAAACCTGTAGAAATTAGAAAAAAAAAAAATTTAGGACTGCAATATGAGCCCCTTGCAGCTCTTTCCCAGGGGAATGATTGAGTGATATGCTCCCATCTAGGTGGTTGAAATCCAGTACGATAAGAGTCCTACAGAAGCCCCAGTCGTTTTACCATGCTGACTACCGTGCTCAGATAATCTTTCAAACAGCTTTTAAAATATTATATATTTACTTGGAAGAGTAGACAAGCATTACATTATTGTAGTGCTACTATTCTTCTACTTTCTGAGTTAAATTAGACGCTGATTTTGTGAAGAACAGAGTCATTTTCATCACTGATTACACAGCACAAGTCTCCAACATATGCAGGCTTCCTTCCTGACATGAGCATCCTCACTCACTCATTCATGCCCACTTCAGTGTTGGTTTTAACATCCAACTTCTAGGTTCCACACAGATCTTGTGTTCTCTGAGAAGACTGTCTTATATACAGTCTCAGAAAAACAGAGCTGGGAGATCACTCTAGCTCACATTACAGTTGAGGACACTGAGACAGAATGTTATTAAGCAATTTGCCTGAGATCATCCAGCTGGTTACCATAAAAGTTCAGACTGAGCTTGGGTCTCATACGGCTCAGGCCACCCTGGCTTTGCCATTTTCTGGAATCTTACAGTCTACTACATTATTTAACAAGTATGTATTGCCTGGTTGTACTCCCTAAATAATTATTGTGTCTGGACCTCGCCTTACAGGCACACCTTGTTTTATTTTGCTTTGCTTTATTGTCCTTTTATTGCAGGTTTTACATTGAAAGTCTGTATTAACCCTGTGTTAAGCAAGTCTATTGGTGCTATGTGTTCAACAACATGGGCTCACTTCATCTCTCTATGTCATATTTTGATAGTTCTTGCAATATTTAAAATTATTTTTATATCTGTTACAGTGATCTGGGATCAGTGAACTTTGGTGTTCCTATTGTAATTGTTTTGGGGTGTCATGAATCACACCCATATGAGACAGTGAACTTAATATATAAATGTTTTGTGTGTTCTGGCTGCTACAATTTTGACTACTGACAGGCCATTCCTCTGTCTCTCTCTTTCCTTAGGCCTCCATGTTTTTTTTTTTTGAGATGGAGTTTCGCCCTTGTTACCCGGGCTGGAGTGCAATGTGATCTCGGCTCACTGCAACCTCACCTCCCAGGTTCAAGCAATTCTCCTGCCTCAGCCTCCCAAGTAGCTGGGACTATAGGCGCGCACCACCATGCCCAGCTAATTTTGAGTAGAGATGGGGTTTCCCCTTGTTGACCAGGATGGTCTTAATCTCTTGACCTCCTGATCCACCCCCCTTGGCTTCCCAAAGTGCTGGGATTATGGGCGTGAACCACGGCACTAGGCCTCAGGCCTTCATGTTCTTTAAGACACTACAATATTAAAAGTAGGCCAATTAATAATCCTACGGTGGTCTCTAAGTATTCATATGAGAAGAGTTGTATGTCTGATTTAAAATCAAAAGTTAAAAATGATTAAAATTAGTGAGGAAGGCACGTCAAAAGCTGAGATAGGGCCACAAGAGCTAGGCGTCTTGTGCCAAAGGTAGCCAAGTTGTAAATCCAAAGGGGAAGTTCTTGAAGGAAATTTAAAGTGCTAATCCGGTGAGCAAACAAAAGATAAGAAAGCAAAATAGGCCAGGCACGGTGGCTCATACCTGTAATGTCAGCACTTCAGGAGGCTGAGGTACTTGAGGTTTGAGCAGGAGCTTGAGGCCAGGAGCTCGAGACCAGCATGGCCAACATGGTGAAACCCTATCTCTACTAAAAATACAAGAAAGTAGCTAGGCAAGGTGGTGTACCTGTGATCCCAGCTTACTTGGGAGACTGAAGCAAGAGAATTGCTTGAACCTGGGATGCGGAGGTTGCAGTGGGCTGAGATCATGCCACTGCACTCCAGCCTAGGTGGCAGAGTAAGACTCTGTCTCACAAAAAAATAAATAAATAAAGGAAAAAAAGAGAAAGGAAAAGAGCTTTATTGCTCATAGGAAGAAAGTCTCAGTGGTATAGATAGAAGACCAAATCAGCCGCAACATTGCCTCAAGCCAAAGTCTAATCCACAGCAAAGCCCTAACTTTCTTCAATTCTAAAAAGGCTGAAAGAGGTGAAGAAGCTGAAGAAGAAAAGTCTGAAGCTAGCAGAGGTTGTTCATGAGGTTTAAGGAAAGAAGTTTCTCTGTCATAGAAGTATAAGGTGAAGCAGCAAGTGCTGATGGAGAAGCTGCAGCAAGTTATTCAGAAGATTTTGCTAAGATCATTGATGGAGACGGCTATGCCCAACGACAGTTTTCCACATAGACAGAACAGCCTTTTATGGTAAGAAGATGACATTAAGGCTTTTCATAGCTAGAGAGGAAAAGTCAAAGCTGGGCTTCAAAGCTTCAAAGGACAGGCTGACCGTCTTGTTAGAGTCTAAGGCAGCTGGGTGACTTAACTTTAGGCCAATACTCATTTACTATTCCGGAAGCCCTAGAGCCCTTAAAAATTCAGCTAAATCTATTCTGCTTGTGCTCTCTATAAATGAAAAAAGAACCTGGATAACAGCACATCTGTTGATAGCATGGTTTACTAAATATATTAAGTCTGTTGTTAAACCCTGCTGCTCAGAAAAAAAGGATTTATTTGAAAATATTACTGCTCATTGACAATGTACCTCATCACCCAAGAGCTTTGATGGAGATGTACAAAAAGGTTAATGCTCTTTTCATGTCTGCTAACACAACACACATTGTGAAGCCCATGGACCCAGAGTATTTCTGACTTTCAAGTCTCATTATTTAAGAAATACATTTTGAAAGGCTATCATGCCATAGATAGCAATTCCTCTAATGTATCTGGGGAAAGAGAATTGAAAAGCTTCTGAAAATAATTTACCATTCTAGATGTCATTAAGAACATTCACGATTCAAGGAAGGAGGTCAAAATATCAACGTAAACTGGAGTTTGGAAGAAGTTAATTTCAACCCTCATGGATGACTTGGAGGAGTTTAAGACTTCAGCGAAGGAAGTAACTGCAAATGTGGTAGAAATGGCAAGAGAACTAGAATTAGAAGTGGAGCCCAAAGATGCGACTGAATTACTGCAATCTCATGATAGAACTTTAGTAATTGAGGAGTCACTTCATATGGTTAGGCAAAGAAGGTGGTTTATTGAGATGGAATCTACTCCTGGTGAAGATACTGTGAACATTTTTGAAATGGCAACACAGAATTTAGAATATTATATCAACTTACTTGATAAAAGTAGCAGGAAGGTTTAACAGGATTGACTCCAATTTTGAAAGCTGTTCTATTGGAGATAAAACACTATCAAGCAGCATCACGTGTTACAGAGAAATTTTTTTATGAAAGGAAGAGTCAACAGATGTGGCAAACTTTATTGTATTTTTATTTTAAGAAATTGCCATAGGTACTCCAGTCTTCAACAATCACCACCCTGATCAGTCAGCAGCTATCTACATTGAGGCAACTGCCTGGGCAACATAGTGAGACCCTGTCTCTACAAAAACTTTTAAAATTAGCCAGATGTGGTGGCATGCGCCTGTAGTCCCAGTTACTAAGGAGGCTGAAGTGGAAGAATTGCTTGAATCCAGAAGGTTGAGACTGCAGTGAGCCGCGATCACGCCACTGTACTCTAGCCTGGGTGACAGAGTGAGACTCTGTCTCAAAAACAAAAACGAAAAAATAGAAATCATCATGGCAAACCCACCAGCACGAAGATTGCAACTTGCTGAAGATGATCATTAGCAATTTATAGCACTAAAGTGTTTTTAATTTGGATATATGCATTGTTTTCTTAGACATAATGCTACTGCACACTACTAGACCACAGAATAGTGTAAACATACACATAACTTTTTTTTTGAGGCGGAGTGTCACTCTTGTTGCCCAAGCTGGAGTGTAATGATGTGATCTTGCTCACCACCACCTCTGCTCCTAGGTTCAGGCGATTCTCCTGCCTCTTGAGTAGCTGGGATTACACCATGCCCAGCTAAATTTTTTTATTTTTATTAGAGGGGGATATCTCCATGATGGTCAGGCTGTTCTCAAACTCCTGACCTCAGGTGATCTGCTTGTCTCAGCCTCCCAAAGTGCTGGGATTACAGGCATGAGCCACTGTGCCTGGCTGTAAAAATAATTTTTATATGCAATGGGAACACAAAAACTTCATGATTATTGCAATACTGGGTAGGCTGAAACTGAACCCACAATATCTCTGGGGTATGCCTTGCATCTATTGACTGCCAACTCCATGGTAGGTGCTCCAGAGATGTGTTAATTGACTGACAAAAATGTACTGATGTGGATAATGCCTCTTGAAAGCCCTAGCATGAGACCAACATGAAGAATTCCATTAAGATTTTCTGTTCTCATCCTGGAGATCTTGAAAATATTCCACAGAACAGTGGTAATCCTGCCTATTTTAAAAATCAATACATTCAATATCGATATTGCTAACTTTTAACAGTTAAAATCCCTTTTTAAAAAAGGAAGCAGAATCATATGAGACAAAATATCTTTCACTACTGGAAAAGGTAAAGAATGAGACATTAGCTGATTGTGTCTTTCCATATCCAATGCTAAGGAATTGATATGAAAACTAAAAAAGAGACAGCCAATTACCTGGATATTTTAGTTTGTCTTATAAAAATATAGTATATAGAAGGTGTCCAGAATTCTATCATTGCTTAGTTGTCAGTCAAAAAGTCATTGTTATACATAAATATGATGTCATATCAATGCATAATAAACCTTCCTGTCAATCAAAAGTATTGTTATGTATAGACTTTGTGTCAGACATTTTAGGCTTTGCATTGAGATATGAAGTGCATGCAAATTAAGGAAAATTTAAAGATGGCATGGCCACAGGCAAATATATTTTAATAGAGTTAGACTTTACAGGGAAATTGACACTTGAGCAAAAACACATAATGCAAGTAAATACAGTTTGCTAAACAAAGGAGCTAGCTTTTGAA